GTGGAAGTCGCTTCTGGAAGCTGAAGGAGCGGCACCGGGCACCCTGGTTCAGGCTGCTTGATGTATGGAAGAGTGTTTGGGTAAAAACGTTGAGGACGGGGCTCACGGAGCGAAACGAAGCCTGAGGCTTCCCGTAGAGGTTTCGTTCGTGCCAGTAATTCCCGCACACCCCGAAGCACCCGCAGGACGCGGCTTACTGGAAACCAGGCCGTGCGGCGGGGATTCGTGCGTTTCATTAATGCTTATTTCCACGTTTTGAAATACATTTTGCTTTCAGATGTGCTAATCCAGAGCTAAATGACTTCAGCATAATTTGCAGTCTTGCAAGCAAGGGCTTAATTGGTCCATTAGCATAGAAATGTGCAGTGAGTCTCCCACTGAAGCGCGGAGCGGATGAAGTAGCGTGGCTGTGCCGGGCTCTGCCGGGTGTTGTTCCTGTGTCCGTGCCCAGGAAATACAATTTGTGTGCAAGGTGGTGGTACTTCGGGGTTAGTTGATGAAACACAGCAGCAGTTCCCTGGCTGTGACTCAGCGCTTCCTGAGTCAGGTTTTGTCTTGGGAACGAGGAGGGTTGTGGGCAGTGCTGCCTGCGAAACGCGGCACATCGATTTCCCTGGGTTAATAACGGTGCACGGAGTGGCAGTGCTCTCATATTAGTCTCGTCTTCTGCTGTAATTTGTAGTCTTAGCATTAATACACTAATTCAGATGCAGTTATCAGCAAGAAGTAGATTGGAACCACCTCTTGCAAGGACACTCAGTTGGGAGCGATGCCTTCAATTCTGCACACTCGGAGCAAGTTACGGAGAGCACCTAAAGTCAGAAATGGGCTGTGGGTTTTTTTGGGTCAGGTTCTTGCGAGGACTTTTCCCGTTTCAGCCCTCTGCTGTGCTTTGCTGTCAGTCCAACCCAGCCAGCACAACCCCTTCAGGGCTGGAACCCCCCGCTCAGCCCACGGCGGGTGGCCGAGTTCCCAGCTGGGACAGCAAACGCGCGTTTCGTTTTCTTTTGTCCAGGTGTGAACTCCTTCCTGGTTTTCATGGCCTACAAGGACAAGCTCCAGTGCACCGATGCCCAGGTAAGGGAGCCAGCCAGCGTCCAGCGAACGCCGGCACCCGCGCTCGGCGCGTGAGCTGTGGGTTACCTGATGGGGGGCATCCCGCTGTCTCTTGGCAGATGTATGAAATATTCTGCGTTATTCGAGACCTGGGGGCCATTGCCCAAGTGCATGCTGAGAACGGAGACATCATCGACGAGGTACAGTGGGGGTGTTCATTTAAATTAAAGGTTGGCCGGAGCGTTTTGGCTGAAGGCAAAGCGCTGGCTGTGGCGGGTGGGCTGTGGAGGGTGGAGCGGTGCCAACACCCTCTTAGCCTGCGGCCGGTGCTGCAGATTCAGTAGGGACCGGAGCGGACGGGCGAAGGGGGAGCAGCCTGCCGTGACGCCGGGCTGCTCTGGGAGGGGGCAGCGAGCACAGCGCGGTGCCCACGG